ACGGAGTAATATTTAATTAAGTCCTTAAACAGGGGAGTATATGCTGACTTCAAAGCACTGAATAATTTCATAAGTAATGACGTCATATGTACGTAATGACGTCACAAATATGACGTAAATTTCAGTTTTTTATGAATTTTGCAGAAAAATGTACATATTTCGTCGATATTTTAAATAAAAGTCACCGAGCGCATGTGTGTTCAGGATAAATATTTTGATATAATGTGTAGAATGATAATATCAATGAAATATGTCAATATTGTTCCTGAACACACATGCGCTCTATAAATTTTAAAGCTTAGATTGTTGAAATTTTGTCCATTTTGTCCTCTTTCTGAAAAAGGATATAAAATCGGACTAGTTTGTGACGTCATAAAATCAGAAATTGTGAATACACTGCTCTGGAACTATAATATTTTCTGTTAACTTATATTTCTCGTACAATTTATTGAATTCAGCACATATCAGGAAGTTTTCAAAATTTGACTTTTGTGGGGGCAAACATATGCAATATACCGCATATGGTTCTTTCAAATATTTAAAAGTATTTAATGTATGTTATTCAAGCAGGGCCAAAGTCCTTCTAATTTTCGGATTTAAAATAATGTTTTGAAAAAATAAGAATGGATGGAAATTATTTCTGACCTAGTTTGTCTTATCCAATACACATTTTATAATCAATGAAACGTAAAATTGGAAAATGAAACATAAAACATGAACGTAAAATAATGATATTAATAAAATATTGTTTTTATTTCATTACAGTACCTCCAAATGGTCAAATGTGTCATTTGAACGGAGAAAATGCACTCTTTATAAAGATCATATATACCAACTCTGAAATGAAGGTAAACTGAATGCTGTGGTGTATTAATTAGGTGTTTCCTGTCTATCCACTCGTATACTCGCCACATTAATGAGTGGATCTAACATATAAGTATACTCAGATTGTGATGTATTTAGATTATTTCATAAAGCTAGTGAACAATGGAAAACTTTTTGGAAATAAAAAATTTGCATTTTTGAAAATTTGCTTTAAAAACTTGTTTCAGATTATACATTGTACATACCATGGGAATATGAAAGGGGAAAACTAAACAAAACATGCAATTACGTACTATGAAATCAATATTCTTGTGAAACGTTCCACTTAAACAATTCCTTAATCATAGAATTCAAGATTAACGAGTTTAACACATTAATGGGAACAGGAAATTTTAAATATTTAAAAGATGTTTAATGCATGATATTCCAGCAGGACCATAGTCCCTCTCATTTTCGGATTAAAAGTAATGTTAAAAACAAATACAGATGGCACTTTATTCTAACCTAGTTTGTCTTATCCAATACACATTTTAATAATCAATGAAACGGAAAATTGGGAAATGAAACATAAAACAAGGACGTAAAACATAAGGATGCAAGAAACTAACGCTTTACGGAAGAAAAGAGTTTTGCAGGGAGTGATTATGAGATTTATCTGTTACACTCGTTTGATTTCTTGTTTCCTTCCTTCTGTCTTACATTTGATTCAGTACTAGTCTTTTACAATAGTGTTTCAATGATTTAGTAATTGGTGTTTTTGGTGTTCCAGTTTTTGGTCTCGAAACAGGATTGTTTTGTAGTATACAAAACTTGTCAAATCCGAATACTACTCGGTCCGAAGAAATTGGTCGGATTTGATAATGTTCCATATTTTAAGTAATTGAATTTATTAAAAGGGATTTCAGCTTTTCGTCGTATTGAGTACGTCCTCCTCTGTACCATATAGTGGAAATTAAATAAATTAACTAATACACTGTATCTACCCCTTTATAGAATATATTTTTCTCAATTTCCAAAAAAAACATTTTGCAATGGTGTAGAGAGGGTCCTTTAACATTGATTTACGAAATCTGGGTGAATTTTTAAAAATAGATGGAAGTCCTTGGTAATGCAAATTGTAAGGCCTTTGTTTTCGTACGGATTTCCTGTGTACTTGATCGAGAGCTCAAAGTGGGTATGACCAGTCAACAGGGGATATTTTCATCCTTGGCTCCTAGTTCCCTCTCTGCTTTTTGCTTGGGTCCTTGTTTATTCCCTCAGACTTGTTCATAGAATTGAATTGCATGTAGTTTTTATGAGATTGACCACTGTTCAGCTATTTCAGACCAAATATAATTAGGCACATGTGTGTTAAGCAAAGTGTACACATAAATAATACGCATAATAAATTGTATGAATCACAGGCGCCGAACTCCCTTGAAGGAAAAATTTGAAGATAACGAACAGTATTCAAGATCAAAAGTCAATAAAACAAAACAAAATAGGAGCAGAGCAAACATGGACCTACCAAACCTCAGAGTTGGGATCAGCTACCATGGAGGAGTGATCATCCCCTGGTGACCGATCACACCCGCCGTGTGTTCCTTATCATGATCGGGAATAACGGGAAAACCCGTCGTCAATTCAGTGTATAAATAATGGACTAACAATTATATCAAAAACGCCACTCAGCATTTGACTCAATGATAAACGGTTTTTGCTGACAAGGTTATGGTATCGACTATAGATTGATTGATTGACTGTGTGTTATTTAATGTCCCTCTCGAGAATTTTTCACACGTACAGAGACGCCACCACTTGTCGGTGGAGAGCTAAAAAAAATTTCCTATACTAGGCACTCAGGGCCATTGAGCAGTGAAGGATCTTTTTCGTACCAGCACCTACTGCGACACGGGACCTCAGTTTATACGGTCTCATTCGAGGGACCGGTGTACACGTCCCACAGTGGGATTCGAACCCGCGAGTAAGGATCAACTCGGAGTCCTAACTTTGCGACTCTACAGCAGACGCACAACTGCGCCACGCAGGCGACTATCGACCATAGAACTTGACTGAAAAGATAACTTTAAACGAGACCACTGATATTCTTGTTTCATCAATTTGTTTGTTAATAATTTACCTCGTTTTAGAAATTGTTTATTTGTAAAGCATGCTCTTGCGTATCGAATCAACTGATATATCATATTTAAACTCCGTATGCAGGTGATGAAAGTATATTGTTGCAGAAGTAAGGGAAGTTGACGATTCTAAAGTTAAAAGTCATCACGTTTATCATAGATTTTGGTTGTTGGATTACCATTATAATGTTTTTTTCAAGTAAAATATCCAAATATGAAGCAAATGTGTCATACTCTGTTGTGTCTTTTGTCTCAAACTAACCAGGATATATATCATATCAACATAAGAATGGAAATTACCATTGATAATTGACAATACGTCGTCGATATAGCTAAATGTCGAGTTGAAGGCCACAGCAAGTGTTTTCTTCTTCTCACGAATAAGATTTATGCACAAATTCTGCTTCATATGAATACAAAAATAGGTCTGCTTATAATGGGGCGCAATTGGTACCCATGGTAATTCCAATAGATTGTTGGAAGACCTGGTCTCCAAAAACAACATGGACATTGTCAATCAGAAAATCAAGAATCTTTTTTATGTCAACTTCAGAGTACTTACGTGTACAATCAGAATGTTTTTTAACAAAATAATTTTGCAAATGACCAATGACAAGGTAAGTAATTTACGAGTTCCATTTTTATAAGCAGCTATTAATGACATCGAAAAGCCTCGACTTCAATATATCGTAGGGAATGGTTGTGTATAAAGTTGAAAAGTCGTAAGTTTTTAAATTGTTTATTTTGGTAAAATTTTGTGATTTCAAATTGTTCAAAAGTTCCTTGGAATTTTTATTTTTTAAGTATCCACATCTGATTTAACTTCCACTTCTTTTTGATATCCACTTCTTGAATATATTGTTGTACCGTACTTTTGAAGTTTCTCCTTCACTACTGTTAATATCTTAGTGAGGAGTAAAGAAAGAGGCTTGGTTGAACATCTACTGGAACCCGCTATGTATCTTTGTTTGTAAGGATTCTTATGAAGTTTCGAAAATAAAAAAAAAAACATCATAATTAGGAAGTCTGTGTTTTGTTATTACAGCCTGTTAAAGCCACTAAATGATATTTTTGTCACCATAATATCTGAAAACTCGCCATACATTTCTGACAAGTCACTGTAAACCAACATTTAATCACGACTACTTTATTTCGCGATTAACCGGATGTAAACAAGCTCGCGACGATTAATTTTCGCTAGCAAGCCCAATTTGGGTCTTTTTTAAAAAAAAAATAGAAACAGGGTCTTTAAGGACCAGTTAGCGGAGAGAAATATTCGCGATGACGAGGCTCACGTGAATTTCGAGATCATTCCTCGCACGCGAATAAAAGTTGGTTTACAGTAATCTATTTTCTGACAAGTCTACACCATTATCTAACAAGCCGACATAATTCTCAGATAAGTCAGCTTGTCAGATATTATATAGACTTGTTAGATATTATATAGACTTTTCAGATATTACATAGACTTATCAGTTATTATTTATACTTGTCAGATATTATTTATACTTGTCAGATATATCATATTTGAACTCCGTATGCAGGTGATGAAAGTATATTGCGGTTTCGGAGAAAAAGCTGAAAATGTTCAAATGTTAACGCACGACGACAGACGAAAACAGATAGCCATAGGTCGCCTGTGTAAACACAGGTGACCTAAAAAGACCCCCACTCAACAACAAGAACAGTACTGCACTGTACCACAAGAGGTCAAAAGGAGAAGGGGGAGGCCGAGTCCATCTTGGAGAAGGACAGTAAAGGGTGAAAACCATGCACCAAACATGGGAATCAACTAGGCTGGCACAGGATAGACAAATGTGGAGATCTGATGTCTGATGCTGCATACTACATTCCACAGAATGTATAAAGGACGGTGATGATGATGAAAAGTTACTCTAAGGCAAACTCATCTGTTTAAAGAAAATTAAATTTCAACAACAAAAGTAACATGCAAGTACTATATGCAAAAAATATATAAATCAGTTATATATAAACTCAATGAGAAATATTCTACTCAATTTTACAAAAGAAATAATCTAAAATGAAAATAATGATGAGTCTAAAAATAACGGCACATAAAACTTTGCCGCTACACACGCAGCAAAAGTCTTCTATACCAATGTCTATGCAAAGTCACACACAGCGCCTGGTAAAGTGCAAAGCATAAAAAGGCCTGGGCATAGTAACGCTGCAATAGTTATATTAAAACACACTAAGTTAGTACGTGTAGTCAAACTCATATAGGTCCATGAAAGGTGTGTTTCATTAATTACAAGCATCGTCAGTGCATGGTACTATGATGGCTGTGGCGTTAGAACTGAGATGGTAAAATAGCACTATGTAAAGTCAGGCACTTTAGTCCATAGAAAGTGTGTGGTACACAAAATACAAGTACAGTCAGTGCACGGTACTGAGATGGTTGTGGCAGTCGGTATGTCTCAGATTCTTGCAAACTATCTGTCCCATATCTACAAGAAATTCGAAAATTGTACAATTGTATTGATATTTATCAGAACATACATACGATCTAAAATATATATCAAAAATTACGGGTTAAGAAAAGGGAGATGCAACATCTAAGATCGGGGGATTATTTTGTTTCTGAAGAAAAACACAAGTATGAAATTTAACACTTCCGTGAAGGGACATGAATTGATTGTCTCTTATGTGCCATGAAAGCAAAAAAAAAACACAAAAAATATTAGGGAGTTTCACATATGGTACATGTATATAAAGAACATATAAGACTTACAGGGTAGCATAAATTCAGATAAAGACTTGCAAAAAGTATAAAGCTTTTTAATCACATTTAATACATTATGGGTTTCCGGTGGTTTAACTCACCAAACTTCTCCTCCTCTTTAGTACACGTAAAAAGAGGAATTCAGGTCTTGTTTCTTGGAAACTTTATGACGTCTCTGTTCTGGTACGTTACGGCGCATGGATCTGTGCTCAAAATTGACTCTAGCCAACCACTCCATCTATAAGAGGAAAACATAGTACTAGTAAAGTTATAAATGTTAATTACAAGACAAAGGAATAAAAGGTTTCCCTCGAAACGTTATGCATACTAATGATCGAAAAGTATGTATTTATACTATTTGGGTTAGAACAATGTTGAGTGCGGCACATACCTGGTGCGTAGGTTGAGGTATGGTGGGTAGCTCCCTACGCTCCTCAGACTTGTTGATGGCATGGATCAACTCATACTAATAAAAATAGAATAATATCAATTTCTTTTAAAACATAGAATCATTTATAGAACCCACAGAGAAATAATTATTTATAAATGCCCTAAATGTGTATTAACCCATTCAGACTCTTACCCAGTCTTTAATGTGCTCTCTCCACTCGTGAGCAGCAGAAGTAAAGACTTGTTTGCACTGGAGAGAAAGGATAGAAAATATAGAGAGTATTCAAAGGAGAGAGAAGACAGAAGCTACAGATATTTATTGAAAGGAGAGAGAGAGACTTACAGCTGATTTGGCCGCTAGGGCAAGCATCACCTCGTACCACTGACGACTGTCATCTGAAGAGACGTCTATACGGCGCTGGAATGAAAATAATAACTAAAGGAATATCAAATAAGTAAATATTTACTATATAATTTTAAAATTTAAAGCCATTAAAACTTTAAACTTTATACTTTAAATCAAATAGCAATAAGAACCCCCCTCTTTTTTTTTTAAACTGTCAACGGGGGACAACTCCACTTTGGGTTGTCACAGAGTACGCTCCCCTGTGTTTATGTTCGGAAAGCTTACAACAAACGTTTTCAACATATTGTGCCGAATGATGTAAGTATGCATTCAAATTGATATGACTCAATTTAGTTCAGCAGAAAAAAGGTTATTCTACAGAAAACGCCCCAATAAGACCTGTTGCATTTTCTCTGTTTTGTGGTATTGATTTTATAGTATTTCAGTAGACTTTATATCAAATCCAACCCTACCTCCACAATGAATTACGCCTTCCATGTTCCTACTCCTATCTTTATTAGCAACACAGCTTAGGTGTGTGTTTTTATTTATGTTACGTGATATCTATTATTTATCCTGCAACTATCCCTTGCGTTTACCTAATAAACCAAAGCTTTATCCGGTCACGTTTTCTTACCCTCGCCCAAATATCGGTTATATTTCAAGACAGTAACCATGTATTTTATATAAATTTGCACGTTTTCTGTAAACTTGCATAATCAAAAAAATGTTTTAAATGTCAAATTTGAGGAAATATACAATGTATTGGCACAGTGTGTTAGCTAAGCTTCCCTTCCACGTCTTTGAAATTTTTAAACCCCCCCCCCCTTATCCCAATTTCGAATGGTACCGTATCTCATAAAAACAAGCATTTAAGACCAATAAAATTTTATTTCCTAAAGAATTACCCTCTTAGACACACTCTGGTCCTTTCTCTCGGAAGATCTTTGTCTTTTCATAGTGAAATTTGTGATTTTTGTCGCTCTGTGAAAAAGCACGTCTATTCTCTACCGATCAAAGTGAGTAACTAACAACAGTAACCAAAACGCAACGCTACATTGCAGTTACCTAGCAGTTACTAAGCATGACGTCATCGCTAACGACTACACGTAAAGCTAGGCTTCAAAAATTAGCTGTATAAAGTAAAAACATTTTTGCTTACCTCTTGTGTTTTCTAAATCCTTTCAGTATATTAGAAAAATATGTCTCTATATCATCACATTCATATTACAAAGCTGTTTGACATGTGACGTCATTAGGCTGGAATTGTCATAGCCTAGTTCCCGCCAAATTTATGTTTTGCTGTCAGACATTGGAAATCTTCTGTAGTCTCTTCAGAGGTTTATATAAAAATACCATTCTGTATTTCCATGGAATGTAGTAGTAGTAGTAGTTAAGTAAATTTTATTTATAGTCCGACTATATACACATAAAAAAACAACATGAGCAATAAAGCTCTTTTATCGACTAGACAATGTAGACATTGAATTCTTGCATGTCATACATCTTAAAGTAAAATCGCAGCTGCATAACGCAAAAATTTTGCTAATTGAGAAATATGAGTTATTCTTTAATCTTAATTTCCTTGACATTATTGCTAAATATTGATTTATTTTTCATTCTATATAAACTGTGACTCGTATGTGAACTGTTTCTGTTTTATACGGAAACGTACAACCGCCTCGTGTTGTTGTTTTAGAACGCGATATTATGATATAAAGATGTTGTCAAATACAATAACTTCAGGGTTTGGCGATTTGATAATGACAACAGTCTTTGGTGAATAATACTTTTTTGATATGTTTTTACGACTTATACACTTTTATATATCCAAGTTGAATTCCTAAATGTAGCACTAAGATGATTTATAAAAATTAAGCCGCTAAAATTAAACATCGCAGATATTAGTGCAATTTAACATTTATATAAAGACTTCGCAAAGACGACTCGATTTAATCAAAGAGGAAATGAAGCAAAATTCGACTTGTAACATCAGATCTATTAATATAACGTATTGCATTGCATCGATGTCTGATTTTAATAAAATAATTCAAATCGTTATACCACTACTTGGGCCGTAATGCATATCTAGAAAATGCTTTCCTCTTTTTCTGAATGTGTGTTTTTCATAGGACCCGGGACACTCTTTGAAAACCGTAGCTACGTGCCGGATTTTTATTGTCCGAAATTGATTATTTAAAAAAATGATTTTTAAACATAAAAATCTAAAAATTTGATGCTGTCGGTAACTGCAATGTTTTTTTATCTTAGAATAAACAAAGAAGAAATTTGCAGGTTTTACAGTGTTATAAGTCTTTATGTATATGTATTTTTAAATGTACTCAAAGAGCAACTTCATAAAATGTATATGATGGTATAAATTATAACAAAAATCTGAATTTACCGAATAAATCAAAGCATGATTGGGGGGAAAATGGTGTCTGTGAGAGCACTAACTAATGAGCTTGTGTGTTATCTTTAAAAAGAAAGAGGATAAAATGCAAATTATTTCATTCACTTTATCATTCTACACATCATATTAAAAAATAGAGTATGTGCAGACTCGCGCTCGAATTTTCCCAATTGAATTATCAAAGAAAATACACAACTTTCTTGAAATTTTGAATTTACAATGTTTTGAGGTCATATTTAATGCATGACATCACATCAGACGAAAATATTAGATGCTTATATGTCTGCATATGTTCTCCAAGCTAAGAACATGATTAAAGTTATCGTTATCATAGTTTGCATTGAATAGTGGACAAGTATTACCAAATATAGTGAGTGTCCGTTGAAGCAACATTCATAAGATTTATTATTTAGGGAAGAGCCTGCAAGATATCCTCTAACTATTTGAGTCAGACATTAATTCAGTGCAATATACGTTATATTTGAATTAGGATGAAATTCATTTTCTCCTGGTATGTCCTTATCTTAATGTAAAAAGACTTGAACTCATAAATATTTGTAAAATTAAATGTAAAATTTTTCAATCTCTATTCTATGATAATCAATTTTATTCGCTCATGAATAACGAAGATTGAAGATCCTGACATCCTTGGATCAATTGCTAGATTCCTTGGTAATCTACATTAATTTGAGGATATTTTGATATGCATATATGTACTTTTTCCCAGTTTCTTGCCTTTGACTATAATATTATTATAACATATACAATACATGTATGTATATTCAGTGTATCTCTTATATACATTTTTATCAACTGCTCTCATTATATGTAAGATCTTCCTTGTTCTATCAATTGGATCCTCCTCCTTCTTTTGTTTGTAAATCTTGTTTGCTCCTCCAAGGGCCCAAATTGGACTGATAAAATCTTGTATCTTGTATAGATCTGATATTGCAAGTCGTTCACATTTTGTTGAATTTTTCTCTTTGATTAAATCGAGTCGTCTAAACGAAGTCTTCATATATGTTATACTGCACTAAAATCTGCGATGTTTAGCGGCATAATGTTTACACATTATTTAACATGTGCAACATTTAGGAATTCAACTTGGATATATCAAAGTGTATAAGTCGTCTAAAACATATCAGAAAAGTTTTATTCATCAGAGATTGTTGTCATAATTAAATCGCCAAACCTTGAAGTAATTGTATTTGACAACTTACATTTTTATATCATAATATCGCGTTCTAAAACAACAACACGAGGCGGTTATACGTTTCCGTAGTTTTATATGGTAGCATATTTCTGCCTCCTACATGCAAGATAAATTATGTTAACATGCAAGAAAATTATGTCAACATGCAAGAAAATTATGTCAACATGCAAGAAAATTATGCGTATACACAGATACATGCAAGATAATTATGTTGACATGCAAGTTACAAATTAAATCTTTTAGAGGAATCTGATTTAAATATGGGTAAAATCCCGTGTTGACGCCCGTATCTGACATCGTAGATGCAAGATGCAACATAATTATGAGAAGATGCGATTTACTTATAGTGTAAACATGCGAGATAATTATGTTGACATGCAAGATATTTATGTCAACATGCGAGTTAATTATGTAGACATGCAACTTATTTATGTCAACATGCAAGATATTTATGTTAACATGCGAGATATTATGTAGACATGCAGGATATTTATGTTCACATGCAACTTAGCAAGAAAATAACTTGCATATATATATGGTGTTATATTTATGCCATCCACATAACTTTTTTTGAACATAGCATATCATGCCAAGTCAAGATAACTATCTCTTCAAGTCATGACAATTTTCTGTTTTGTCGACAAACATCAACTTTATATGTTGTCCAGTCAAGATAAGATATCACATTTGTTGCGATATATAGCTATTTACTAATGATGCAAGATAAGTTATCTCGTCATGTCAAGATAGCTATCGCAGCAAATGTGATATCATATCTTAATTGACTGGACAAGATATAAAGTCCGTTTTTGTTGACAAATCAGAAAGTTATCATGACTTGACAAGATAGTTATGCGGACTTGGCATGATATGCTATGTTAACAAAAAATATGTGGATGACATAAATATGCCACCATACATATCAACTTACATATCTTGCATGTTAACATAATTATCTTGCATGCTGACATAAATAAGTTGCATGTTAACATAATTACCTTGCATGTTAACATAAATCACATATATAAATAAGTCACATGTTGACATATCTTGCATGTTGACATAAATAAGTCGCATATTGACATAATTATCTTGCATGTTGACATAAATAAGTCGCATGTTGACATAATTATCTTGCATGTTGACATAAAATAGTCGCATGTCTACATAATTATGTTGCATATTTTACGGAAGCATAAATGGTTTTACACTTGTGGTGTTATAACTTTGAATATTGTCTTATATCTTATCGTCTTATCAACATGTAAAGTATAACTCCTTATCTATACACATATTTTGAGATATATTAAGATGTTTTTACCTAATTAGAGGCAACTTCTTTTGTTTAGTAGATTTTATTGCTTTAAGTTTTATCGACTGAAATACTAGTAATTTATTGATTTTCAAATATTGATCGAAACAAGATATTTAATCATATCAATATAGCATTGTCGATATGAAAAAATAAATATTTAGTTATATCGATATTAATATATGAATATTTGCGAGAAAAAAGTCAGAAAAAAGTATTTTTGAATTAACTTCGCGGGGGCGGGTTTTCTAATGAATCTTGACTTCACTCGGGTATCACTGAAAGCTTAATATGTACTATGTATTTGCCAGCGTGTACGATCACTAGTACGAGTAATATAGGCTGAATCAAATTCAAAAATATTTTGAAAAAGGGAGATTGCGACACATCAACAGTTAAATTCTTAGGGGGCTATTTTACCTATCACCACATTTGAAGACGGGGAGGCAAGAGTATCACTGTGTCCGTCATCCAGCTTTTTTTTATTTAAAAAAAAAAAAAAAAAGTACAGCAGAGATCAACTAATATACCCCCCCCCTCCCCCTCCAAAAAAATAGAAAACTCTCGCATTTGGATTATTAAATCTCTGGATAATTTTTCCCTTGTTATATATTTAATTTGGCTGACACTACATTTTCCTACTTTAAACTTTGTGACTAAGCTTAGACATATTCTATCTGATGTAATTCTATCATCATGGTTCACCGTTTATATTTTTTTTTTAATATCAGAAGGGGGGGGGGTTTCAAGACTGCGGAGGTTCCCGTTCATGAGTCAGATCCTATGTATATATACCACAGAGTGAAAAATCAACAAATATTTACAAAGTACATAGCCAGTGTTACTTTTATAAAACTGTTACTTTCTATTTTCGCTTCAAAAGCGATTTTTAATTCTCCTACTGAACTCAAGAGATAGAAAGCAGTGAACCATATAGAATATATCAGATCCCCGCTTCAAAAGTGGTGATCGCTACAATAACCCCCTATGACAATGCTTATAATCTAACTGTTGATGTTTC